GTGAATAGAGGTTTGCTAAAATATAATCGAGATAGATTATATGAACGATATAAGAAGTAAAAAAATAAGACCCATATAGAGCGCCAGAATATTTTAAATTTAAATCAACAAATTTTGACGCTTCATAATAATCCACCAAATTAAATAAACATAGCTGATACTAGATGTTTACCGATATTAAAATTAATGGCTCCTGCTCTTGCAAAATTTCTACCTTATACAGGCCAAGAACTACCTGATAATTACTTGAATAAAGTTATTCAATCATGAACATATCTTGAAGAGCATATGACAGTTTTTGAGAATGCAAATGCAGGAGATTTTGATAATGCAGTCAAGTATAATATTTTAAAATCTATGATAGGTAGAAAATATATTCCAGTACTAGCAAATAATAATCTTGTAGTAGGAAATCCAGCTATAAATTCTTCAAATACATTACGGGCTTATATGAGAGCAAAATATCAGTAAGAAACTGTTAGAAATCAACAATCGGCTTGATACAAGAAAGATATCAGCTCTACGATACTCCTGATATCTATGAAGCCAGAATTCGACCACTATTATTAGAAGTAGCAGACAATAATGCACAAGTTTTGGGATTTCTTAAAAGTCATTTAACAGGTGATTTTTATACTTGGATAAGAATTGTTAATCCTGCAGATATTAATGCATTTTCATTAAACTAAAAAATATGTGGCTAGAGTATGGGCAAAATTTGAGTAGAAGGATCCCAGAGGAATCAAGTCAAATTGCCAATCAAGTGCAAGCCTTACCTAGTATAAATTTAGTATCCTATTCTTTACCACTAGTTACCCCAGCTCCTCAACAGCAAGGATATACAATTTCTTTAGAAGATATGCAAAAAGCAATTCAAAACGTATTGGCACAGCAAAAAACTAAATACCAATCTTTATTAGAAAACAAAAAAACTAATTTTCAATTACAAATTATTAAGCAAATACAAGTACCTGTATCTCAAACCGTTAAACCAGTTAGACAGCCAAGAGGTCCACCATCTTCATTACAAATAGAAAAAGGTATAAAAAATTATAACTTAACACAATATTTATATAATTTAGGTATATTTAGTACAAAAGATTTCGACAGAAATTATCCTATAAAGCCTTTTTAAAAACCTCATTCAGGACGATTATATTCATCAAATTAAAATACTAGAATAGATAGAATAGAATCGAAAGTAGATAAAATTGGTCAAATGATATCTCAATTTGGAAGGATGATGCTTGATAACAAAAAATCTATAGCTAAATCAAATTCAACATATCGATATTTTCCTCCTCTAATACCTTCCCAATCCCAATATACATCTCCTGATTCAGATGATAATGAGAATGAAGAAGGTAAATATAATAAGGAAGAGAATAGATGGCATACTCCATCTCAGTCAAAAAAAAACAGATACCAGTAAATAAAAAAATACTTCCAGAACTTAGTTAGCCTAAAACATACAATAAAACTATTGCCAAAGCTTTTACCGACAATGTGTAAAATATGTCAGTCTCATATAGTTTAGAAGAAAGAATCAAAATTAGATAAATAGTTTTCATCATTGCAATACTTGTATTGTAATATAAATGATCTATTGATCACTAATTTCTTTTTAGATAGTATGAGTGAATTTAGAAGAGTGAATGATGCAACAATTAATGCTCTGAAGTGGAAAGCTGACAAGCCTTCTGACTTTGATATAAAGAGTAATTCCAAACATATATCTGAATCATTAGGATAGTATACAGATGTGCCAATTAGTGTAAAGGACAAAGATAGTAAGATTGTTATAGCTACTAAAAATTTTGCTCATATTAATAATAGTAAACTCGAACCAATATTATATTTAGATATGATATGGATTCAAAAAGTTCAAGGTATTCTTAATCCAAATAAAAATCAATTTCGAATGAAGTTACATAGGAAGACTTATACTATCCCAACTTTTAGCAAGACTCCAGAGGTTAATAAACTAGAGCAACAAGTTTCAGATATATATGATGGTAAGAATTTAAAAAAAAATATATCTTACTTGAAAAGTGATTTATAAAAACTGAAAAGTAGCTTGATATAGCTCTAAATACAAGTAAAGTTTTTGTGAAAAGATGCTCTCAGCTTACTAAAACAAAGATGGGAGCATAGGAGCTAATCTTTCTATATTTTTGATTAGTTCTTCAAGATCAGCTTTTTTTCTAGATGTATTATCTATAGAAAAGACACTTTTTTTTACTGCATGTGGGAAAGTAGAACATTGAAGAAGTGAAGCTTTGAGTCTTTGACTCATCTTTGGTTGTCTTATCTCTGCTGATATATCTGATAAAACTTCAATCAGAGATAGACTTACACCAGAGTGATTTATTGCAGAACAAGCTATTAGGTGATTCTTTGAATTATGAGACTTTGCTTTCACATTATTTATACTAGATAAATTATTACCAGAGTCAGTCACTTCATAGTAGAATATATTAGACTGTATTTGAGTACTTTGTGTATTATATAAATATAGTATTGGTTGATTCAGAGAACTCTATTAGCTTCTTCCCCTCTCCAAATCTGATATATATATTTTGATGATGTTTTATATTTTTCTAATAATTCCTTTAAAATTTTGTATCTTGGCTTTATATCACAGCATTGCATAATATAAGTATAATCATCGGAAATAAATAAAGGTATATCATATTTCATATATACTCTAACTATAGTGATAAATACTTTATTCTTTTTGTTATAATATAAGATATTTATATCTAATAAAAAATTTTAAAAAATTGAAAAAATGTAATATGTTAAATATACAAGTCTAATACATATACTTATTTTATTTGTTATATATATTCTATATACCCCATATATCTTATATATCCTATATATCTCATAGAATATACTAAGCTAAATATACAACTTTGCTAATTTTGTTAATAAGAAAGTTCACTATATAAGTTATATATCATTAATTTCTTTATCCCAATTAATACTTTGTTTATTTTGAATTTGGTATATATGATCAGTAGGGTATCTTTGATTTTACCAAATCTGATAAACACAATGTGATGATATCTTATATTTTTTGCTATAACTTCTGAGACACGTTTCATCGTATTTTTAGCATTAATGATATCTCTTATATTATCATTTGATAAAGGTGTTGCATCAGATCTTAAAAATCTTTGTTATATTTGCAATTAATATTAGTTATTCTATATTTAATTTTTTTATTAATATAATATGGAGCTAGTATTAGAGCTGAGCTCATATGCCTCGAATTCATACTTTATCAAATATACAGTAGGTAAAGATCAAAAACTTAGGAATATACTATCTAATCGATATCTACCCAGCCGAACAGAACTTGAAAACCAGCTTGTTTGTGCAAATTATGATCGTAAAATTGCTATAAAATGTAGCAATCAACTTGCTTATAAATGCTTTATCTTGAATAAAAATAATAAACATATGCAACAGAATCTAAATCGATCTAATAAAGATAAAGAGAAACTCA